TTGCACGGAAGGCGTGGCCAGGAGCCGGGCGAGCTCCAGGTTGTGAAGCCCTTCGAGGAAACTGCAGCCCATTTGCTCCTGGACCAGCTTTCGAAGCACGTTTTTCCAAACTCGCTTCCTCCCACGTCGCCGGACGTACACTAAATCACGCTGTGCCTTTCTGTGGACCTCTCGCCCCCCACGTAAGACAATCTGCCTTCTTGTCATTACCAACACGTTTCGGCTTCGCCTGCAGCTCCTCCTTACGTCAGACATGTGAGAGCGTAACTTTGAAAGGGAGGCTCTGAGCCACTTTTGAAATACATACAAAGTATTTATTTTTGCTCGATTATTGTCTTCGCGCATTTCCAACAGTTTTGCTCTTTTTTTTTTTTTTACATGAACTGGTGCCCTGCCACCCTGGTCAGCGTCCCTCACTGGTGTTCTCTAACGACTGGACATCTAGATGCAGGCCTGGCCACCGCCTGAGACAGGACCCTTGGTGACCGAGCACTGGACGTTAGGGCTCAGAGACGGCGTCTTTACAACCTCCTGTCCTAACACACTCGTCCCGAGATTGTCCTCCGGCTCCAAATGGGTCCACGCGCTCTCCCCACCCCAGGGGTGAAATTGCTTGGAAAATCTGAACAAAAGTAGCCATTTGGGAAGTGGGGGGTGGACAGGGACTAGCCTGCTTGAGAGGACACACCCAGTGCGTCTCTGGCGTGGACCGCTGCAGACAGCTGTCCCGGGGGCAGCCGGCTTTCCCCTAGGGAGGGGGTCTGAGTGGAGTGAGACCCAGATTTCACAACGGAGATCGGGAGAGTAGAAGCCTGGATTTGCACAGTTCGGTGCCACAGTTTATCGGGCGGGGCCTGGAACCTGCTGTCTTCCTGAAGGGGGTGGGGGGTGTATGTGATGTGTGTTAAGGCGTGTTCCTGAGCTTGCGTTTGGGTTCTGTCCCCTCCTGGCCATGTGACCTTGGATATGTGCTGGAACTAAGAGTGTGCTGTGAACTTGGCCTCTGTGAACTTGGGGAGAGCTGGGCCAGCACATTTACACACTCCACAGCGGGTGGCTCATGGTCTTTCCAGGAAAAGAACAGAACTTGTCCCTAAAACACAGTCCCCTTGAGCACCCGCCCCCTCAGACGTCCCCAATCTTCCTCAGAAAGAAGCCTCAATGTCACATGGCTGTGGGAACATCTGTGGTTGCACAACACGTGACCCCTGCCCGTCACCCAGAAGTTCCAGGCCTGGGGCCCCTGGAGCTAGTGGGGGGCTGGCAGGTGTGGAGGGGCTGGTCCCTTCCCAGCCAGACTGGCCCCTGTTGGCAGACTTCTCCCCCGACCCCCATCTTCCCCCCGACACCCCCCTTTCCCATGAGCCCCCTCTCCGTCCTCAGAAGCTGACACTGCACGGTGGGACTGTCTGCCCAGGGCCCTACTTGACCCCCTGGGTCCCTTGAAGTTTTATTTTTCAACTTACAGCTTCCCCCCACTTCCCAAAGGTAGAGGCTTCTCCATACCCTTCTGTAACCCCCAACGGTACAAAGTGAAGACCATTGATTTTGCAGGGAAACATTTCCCAGCGTTCCCAGACCCCAAATTACGGAGCACATCACTCCCAATAACGCCTGTGCCGACCGGGCGCTCCCCGCGGTGCAAAGACGCTCTGTGGAGCCCTGCTTACCGGTGTGAGGCCGACTTTTGGCCCTTTTTCACTAAAGCGACCATCTCTGGATTTCTTTCCGTTAGCGGTTGGTGCAAACAGCGGCAAACGTAGGTGTTCCCTAAAAGTGAAGTGGAGGTGCGGTAAGTGCGAATTTCCGGAAGGCTGGGGGACCCGCATCCCGGTGGTTTCCATGGCAGCGATCGGAGGCCCCTTTCCCGGGAGGTGCCTGCAACGCCTCGGGCTGGCGGCAGAGGGCGCCCGCGCCCCGCAATCTGGACGCCGCAAACCCCCGGGGCCAGGCCGGCCACACTCTCGCGGCAGGTGCACCGCGCCGGCTCCTCAGGTTGCAGACCACGCCCTGGGGCTGCACCGCGGGGTGACGGCGGCTCTTCCGGGGCTGGGACAGATTTGGGGTCCCCACCTCCCCTTCACAGGCTGCAGTGCCCCTCTCTAAGGCCCGCCTTCCCAGCCTAGGTGGGTGGTGTTGGGGCGACATCCGGGAACCTACGACCCCGCTCTCACGGGGTTTACCACGACGCAGGTGGGATGGCCACGGAGTCTGAAGCGCACAGCACAGGTGTTCCAATCAGGGGCCCGTGGAAAACACAGTGAGAGTGGAGGGGGCCCGGGAACCACCTGGGGATTAGTGTCTAATCATCACGTTGTACACCTGCAGCTAATGGAATATTGTATTTCGACTTGCTGAACAATAGTTGTTTTAACGGAGTCAGCAAAGTGATAGAGTGACCCAGAGCGGGGGACTGGGAAAAACTGCGGGGCCCTGGGGGCTCCCACGGGACGGTGGGGGGGCGTCTGAGCAGACGAGGCAGCTCCCTGCTCAGGAGGGGAGCGGGCCCTGGGTGGGTGAGGAAGAGGAAGCAGCGGATGGTGGGGGTCCCAGCCACGGAGAGCCTCGGTTGTCCTGGGAACAGCCTGGGCTTCTCTGCGAGGAGAGACCCCGTCCTTGCCGCCAAGGCGGGGCCGTGGGACCCGAGGAAGCCCTGTACTGACCGGAGCCGCCCCTACCGCCAACTTCTAACCTCGGTGGGATGCAGGCAGGAAAAGGCTCCCCTTCCCTCTGGCCACTGCCGTACACCTGCTTCTTCCCCGGAGACCAGGCCTCAGGCCACCGCAGTCAAAAAGTCCAGTCGCATCTAAATGTCCACCTCACACCGGCTGCAAAACCACCCCCAGCTGGGCCTGCTGTCCTCTCTCCCTCACTCTGCACCCCTCCCCCTCACTCTCTGGATCCAACGCCCTCCCTCCACTTGATGGGAAGAAAGGGGCAGGTCCCAGCAATGCCCTCCACCTGGCAAGTCCCCCCAGTGGCTCTCCCTAGGGGCACGGGGGAGCTGGTTCTTCAGGGGGCCCCACAGGGGGAGAACCCAGGACAGGAGCCAGGCGCAGGCAGTGAGGGCCCTCCCGGACCTCGTGTTTGATATGACAGCACCCACTGTGTGACCCGCTCGTCACTGCCTGCCGTAACTCAGCCACAGCCTCTTACTGCCAGACGGGTCCCCTGGCTGTGGCAGCCACTCCCTCGGGCTGGGACCTGCGGATCCCCCAAGCTCGACTTCCCTGCAGTGTTTGCGTGGCCCGCTGGAAATGCCACCTCCTAGCCGGACTGCGTGGGGTGGAGACAGCGGGTGGTGCCCGCTCTCCCTCCCCCCTCCTACCCTCAAGACGGGCCGGGCCTTCGGACCCCTGGTCAAGGGGAAGGCCAGGGTCTCCGTGTCCTCAGGCACCCCGTCACGCTCACCAGGGTGGCCCTGTATTCGTGCCACAGAGGAGCCTCAGCCAGGAGTGGGACCCCGGCCTCCCCTCCCTGTAAGAACCCACATCCAGGCTCGGGAGGGTTCCCCCGTGGCCCCTTTTTTGGCTCGGGGCTGGGGTCACCTCCTTCCTGCAGGGCCCCCGGCAGGGTGGGGTAAGGCCCGGCTGCGCCCCTGAGGTCTCCTCATTGTTAGCCGCTCTCTCCTCCAGTGTGAACCTTCTGAGCATAAGCCCAAGGACAATGTGAGTGCCGGTCACAGAGTCTCCTCACAATGTCTGTGAGTCCTGCGGGCGCCTCTGGGAGGCCGTTCCTGCCTACAGTTCCGGGGGCCTCCTGGTCTCACCTCGGGGCTTGAGCCAGCATCCCCAAACAAGAGGAGGTTCCACTTCACCGCCTGCTCCGTTGGTGACACTTTCCGGCAGTTTCTCAGGCTCCGCACCTTTGATGTTTCGGGCTGAACAGCTTTGTGGGGACTGTCCCACACATGGTGGACATTTAGCAACTCCATGACTCCCCCCCACCCCGGGTTTCTCACCCAGGGACGGCGCCTTCAGACACTGCCAAACCTTCGAGGTGCAGGAGGTGGGGACAGAGCTCAACTGCCCCCGGTGAGACCCCTACTCAGTAGACAGAGAGGCTCCCAGGAAGTTTCTGAGCGGGTAAGTAACTTCAAGTTCTAACCCAGCTCCGTCTGGCTGGTTTCCCCGAATGGCAGGAACAGAAGTGGTGGAGACGACTAACACTTCACGTGCCAACGCCATCTTCTCCACAGCGCCACCTAGTGTACAAGACCTGTCATAGCCACGTCTCGTTCCCACAAGGACCACCAAGGGAGCAAAGTGGGACCAGGCTTCACTCAGGAGGGCCAGGGGGTTGGTGCAGCAGAGAATGAGGCACCAACTAAGCCCTGGTCCTGCCACCGGCAGAGCCGAGCTGCGGACGGTGGGCTGGTTGTGACTTCAGTAAGACTTGGTCCCTACCCTCTGGGCACTCACCGTCCAGCACACAGTAGGGCTCCAAGGGCTAGAGCTGGGGAAGCTTCCTCTCATCTCCTTTAAAGGGTGGTGATGTGGGGTAGATAATAACGAAAATAAAGTGGGCGGGCGCCAGTCTCTCCAGTCTTGCTGGGTGATGGCCGGGGCTCCATTTTTAGTTACGGCGCCACCCCCCTCCCAGGACCCAGGACCCTTCCCGGCCTTCCTCCTGGACGCCCCCTCACCCCCAGGCCAGGATGAGGCTCTTGCTGCTTATTCTCAGGAGGAAAAACCAGAACCGACCAGACACGCAGACAGAAACAGTGTTTCTTGTCGTCTGTCCAGGGGCCGCCTGAGGACCCCAGCCCCCACCTGCCCTGCCCCCCCTCCATGTACTGGCTCTGACGCTGCCGAGAGCAGGCATATTATTTTATTATGCATCCCTTGGCTTCCTTGGCAAGGGAAAGACAGTTTAAACCTGTTTCATGTACAGAGGCCGGGTTAGTTTTCCCAAGCACTTCCAGAAAGTTCCCCGGCCCCTTAGCCAGCGCAGAAGGGTGTCCTCTAACGCCTACACAGAACTCCACTCAGGAAAGCCCAGGGCGTAGAAAGGAGTCTTTATTATAAGCGTCACACTGTGTGGACAGGGAGGGGCCGTGGGACGAGGAGGACCGTGGGCAGGGCGGGGCCACACACACCTGCCCCGAGGCTCAGGTGACCTGAAGCGGGGCCTCCAGCATCTCCATGAGGAAGGTGTCAATGGGCGTGTCCCCGATGAGCTTGAAGAAGAACAGATGCTCCAGGCACTTGAGGCCGATGGAGCGCAGGGCGGGCAGGCGCAGCAGCAGCTTGGCGAACCTGCGGGCAGGGCGGGGGTCAGGACACGGGCGGACACGGGTGACCGCCGGGGCAGGGGGCAGTGACTGGGGTGGGGTCCCCTCTTGTGCGGAAGGGGGAGCCTGGAGGGGGCCGGGGAATCTGACCCCCGGGAGTGTCGGACCCTGGATGGAGACATGGAAGGTCACACCCAGGGCAACGCAACCCCCCAACTCGGCGCTGGGCCTCCGGGCGGCTCCGCCCCCATCCCCGGGCAGCGCAGGGGCAGCGGGTGAAGGGGCAGGACGCGAGCCCCCGGATGAGGCTCCACCGTCAGAGGGTTTTATGGAATTTGGCGAAGGAAGCGGCTTCCCTATGAAGTGCAAAGTCACACTAACTGTGAGAGTATTTTTTCCCTCTACAAATGTGGGTTTCGTGCTTTGTGAAATGCTGAGCATGTGGTGCTGTGGCTCTCTGCTGTCTGCCCGGGCTTCGGAGCTGAGAGAGGGACTCACTCACAGTCACAGCCCTGGGACGCGGCCGCCGCTGTCCTCACTGGCTCACGGGTGGGAGCAGAGGGGTGGTGGGCTTTGGAGAGGCCTGCTGAGGGTGTGGGGACCCGTCTGCACCCTCCTGAGTCAGCAAGAGAGCGGAGCTCGGCCGCGACATGCATTCTGAAGAGTGTCCACAGGGTGGCAGCACGCTACCATCCAGAAAAGGCCTCCACCCGCCCACCAAGTGCTTGTCTTCGCTGTTCAGCCTCAGGGTGGTCACCTTGTGTCCATACCCCAGGGACACCAGGGGCTCAGCCTCTTCCCACCCTCACTGAGCTCCCAGGCTCTGCAGAAGGCCAGGCAGCCCCTTCAAGGGAACACAGGTACGTTCCAGAGTTTTTCAAATGATAGCCATTGGAAACAAGCTTGGAGCCACAGGGCCACCGCTAAACAGAGTAGGACCCACCCCCCCTGGGAAATTCTGCAGCTGAAAACGGTCACGCTGTGTTTCTCAGTGTCCGGTCTTCAAAGGGCTCAGGGAGGGAGAGAGGGCACCACCCTGCGTGAGGGACCAGAGACGAGACCCCCACTTTCCCCGAGACAAGGCCTCGGTGGCTTTCGGCTTCTCATGGACATTATGTCCCACCTGGAAGCGATTGGGACAGTGCCCCCCACCTCTGCCACACACAAGCGACGGCGAGGACAGCAGCGGCCGCCTCACCTGCCTGGCTGCTCCGGGTACTTCTGCTTGGTGTAGGCCTCCAGGGTGGCGTACACTTTCTCCCGGAGCGCCTCCACCTCCGAGGGGTTGGACAGACCCTTGGCATCTGGAGAAGACGGCTGATTTCACCTCCGGGGGCGCCATCCACAGAGGCTGCCCCGCCCCGGCCCGGAGTTCCCAGACTCAGGCTGGTTGGGGAGCAGCCGCAAAACACACCGCCCTTGCACCCACCCCCCCCAAGCTCCTGGGGCTGCTGCTGACACCCAGGAGGAGAGTTTTGTCTTGCCTGCTTCAGGGGGTGGAGCAGGTGCCCAAATGGCTTCGAGGTTCGCAGAGCTCATCTCCCAACCACCGCACGCACAGCGGGCGAAGCCCTGCACCTGCTTCCCACCAACCTCGCCCCAGGCCCGGGGGTTGGGGCTCAATCACACGGGGCACCCAGCCCTGCCCACACATCTAGGGCCCTGTCCTCTGAGCTCCAGGCTTTCGGGGGCCGTGGCCTCCCGGACACTAGTCCCAGAAGTCTCCCCACCAGCTCAGACAGTGACGTCCAAACTCAGAGTCCTGGTGCCTGCGCCGCCCTTATGGCCCCGCCTCCAGAAACCAGAGTTCCATTCCCCAGACACACGATGAACGACACAAAAGCCCCGAGAGTCGTGTTGACATTCACCGCCTGTCTTTCTCCCACGTGAACGCGCCCACGTCTCATCCATCAGCAAAACCCCCGGGTTTGCCTAAAAGTCCGTGCAGGATCTGGCAACCTTTGACCCCCCTCGGTCCTACTGGAGGCCACTGGTCTCCCCAGTGGCCCCCAAACGCCCACACCCACTCCGACTTTTTGAGATGGTGCTGGGAGGGGCGGCCATGCGGAGCTGACCCTCTGCCCTCCCCAAGGACAGTGTCCCGGCCCTGTGTCCTCTGTGTCAGCTGAGCTGGAGGACCAGAGGGCGTGGCAGGCTGGAGCTGCCGGGCGGGCGGGGGGCTGAGGACCACCCATCACCTGGGTTGAACAGCACGATGGCCCGCAGGCAGCCCAGCTCCGACTTGTCCATCTGCATGTCTTTCATCTTGGAGACCAGCTCGGTCAGGACCCTGCACGGGAAGCAGGGATGGGCGGTGAGGCGCCCAGGCCGAGGGAGTGAGCGAGACCAGCAGGTAGGTGCCCACCCCATTTCTGGCTGGTGCGCCAGGTACGGGGGCTCGGAGAGAAGTGAGCCCCAGCCCCGCCCTCAAGGGCGTCATCACGTCATCGGAGGACAGATTCGGAGACAGCACTCGGCCACTCGAAGGCAGGATGGGCCACGAACCAAATCCAAGAGACCCTGGTGGGGGGGGGCAGTGGCCTCTGGGGGCTGGTCCTTGCACACACACATGCACACCCCACAATACACATGCATGTGTACAATCGAGCACACATGCATACCACGTGCACGGGCCCATGTGTGCATGTATGTGCTCAGCGTGCACATGTGTGCACGCGTGCTGGGAGCAGCAGGCACCTGTCGAAGATGGAGCCCACGCCGGCGCTGTGGGCGCTGCTGCGGTGCACGTGCAGACCCGTGGCCAGGAGGATCCCGTCCTGCACGGACACGGAGCGGTGGGAGAAGGAGGCGATCAGGAGCTCGTTCCACCCTGTGGGGACCAGAGGGGCCTTGAGGGGACCCGGCCACAGTCTCGCTTCACCTGACCATCGTCCGGCCCGTGTCACCATCCCCACGGAACAAAGGCACGGTCACCAGTCCAGGGAGGCTAAAGGCCAGTTCTGGGCGTCAGCTGATGAGTGTGGAAACAGAGGGTGAGCCTGGGCCCCTGTGGGGGCTTAGTGCCCCCCACAGCCTCTCCAGGGCGGCCCAGAAGGCGGCTCCGGGACATTCAATCAACAAATAGGGATTGAACACGCGGCGGGTAAGCGTCACCACGTCCGTGCCACGCGGAGGGAGGGAGCAGGCCCTGCTGTCTTCGCCCCCGGGACCTGACAACCTGGTTGTAGGTCTGCGGTGCTGTATTGAGGTGCCTGGCTCAGTGCGGCGCTTTCAGCCGACACCTGGCACTTCTGGGGATGAGAGAGACCGGCTCGGTGACAAACGGGAGATGGGGCACGTGTCACCTGCACCGAGTCCCCGAAACAGAAGCCAACAGAGTCTCACGGTCGGGAGGGCCCTGGGGGAGCACCGAGAACGAGCCTGAGCAAAGGCCTCGGCCCCGCCCGCCTCGCCCGTGGGACAGGAACAGCCCTCTTTTCCGATTCCTGATGGCAACGAGGCGTCAAGGGGGCCTCGGTCCCAAGTCCCAAGCACCAAACTGTCTTTGAAAGTTAAACGCAGACCGTGAAGCCGCAGTAAAATCCACCTGGAAAAGGAGTCTCACCCCTCTGTCAACAAAAGATGTTGCACTGGGGGACCAAAGTGTTTTTATGAGGGGGGGGGCGTCCAAATTTACGAGCCTACAAGCATCACAGAAGCAGACGCCGGGGGGTTACCTTGTCGCAACCGACCACGGCCCCTTCCACTTGCTCGTTTTCAGGCCCCAGGGGACTTTCCAAAACCAGCAGCCCCAGTGTGCGCCCCCGAAGAACCGAACCCCAACAGCCTTTACCTGCCCGGAGCAGGATGACCTGGTCTTCCAAGGTGAGGTCCGAGAAGTGCGGGATGCGCTTGGCCCACTCGACCAGGGTGAACAGCTGCTTGTCGGCGGCGTGGCAGATGTTGGTGACCGGGTCGCTGGTCTGGAGAGGGACCAAGCGCGGGGGGCACGTTCTGGGACCTGCTCCCTGCTCCGGCCTCGCCCGGGAGGTGGGAGCCGGGGGCGGGTCCAGACTACCCACCGAGTTCTCCGTGCTCCCCTCGCCGTACGCCTCCGTCTTCGGCTCCACAGCGAGCTCGGCGTCCAGAATGCGCTCCACCGGCATGTCCTCGTGGCCCCCGCCGGCCCCCTCCGCCTCGCTCTCCGCCCGCTCCCGGCCCCGCTGCCTCTCCTCCTGCACCGCTGGCAGACGGGGGGACACACAGATGTCACCACACAGGACAGCGGCGGGGACCAGGCAACCCGCCCAGCCTCCCCGTGTGTGACGTGTGTGTCACCTCGGTGCTGAACCGGGAGTGTCGTGGTCGGACAGGGACTCGGAAAGCGCAGGGCTTTCGCTTTTACGCCCACAACCCGAGGCCTGCACGTCCCAGGCTTTAAGCTCCTCCGATTCCCCCCTTTCCATGAGGCGCTCTCCCCTGACCCCTCGGCCCCCCAACCCGGCCTCCAGCTGCCCCCCGTAGTGAACTGCGAGCAGGTGGGGCTGCAGGGGCAGGCGCCCTGCCTCAGGCTCTGGGCCCCATCAGGTCCCACGTGTCATCCTCGGCATCCACGTCCCACTCGCTCCGCCCCTGTGCCGCCACCCGGACACACGTCACCTGCTCCGTCTTGTCGGGGCTGCTTTCCAGGGCCTCGTGGGGGGTTCATAAGTGAAGGGATGGAGGAAAGTCCTCCACGTGACACCGCAGCCCCCCCAGATGATCTGGGGGCAGGAAGGGAGCATGGGCCCACCTGGGGGCTGCGGCGACCTCGGCCTCCCAACACTGAACATTCCCGCCCAGGCCCAGCGGGGCCCCCAGCGCCATCCGGGGCATCGGGCGGACCCCGCCTGGCCCTGTGCCCCGCGTTGTGAGGACGGCAGCTCCGTGTTCCTCTCCGTCACCCAGAGAGGGAGGGTCTCCATCCGCACGTTCCCAGAGCGAGGGCGGAGGTCACATCGGCACATTTGTTTTAATCCCAAGACTCGAGAAAATGGTAGAAAGTGGCTTTTGTCTAAAAACCACAAATCCAGTGTGACTGGGTCAGAATTATACTTATTTTTTTAGTCAGATTGGCAAAAAATATATATATATTTTTTGGTGGGCTGCAGAACTTTAGTAATTAGTTTGCGTATGCCGTGAGGTGGAAAAGGTGGAAAGCCGCTGCTTTAATGCGTCTTAGGTGACGAGAGCAGCATTTCTCCAGGTCGACCTGAAATTTCTCTCCTCCGTCCCGGGTGGAAGATGTCCCTGCTGGCCCCGCCTCTCGCTCTTGCCGACGGGCGGGCCCCTCCATCGGGTGCGCTGGCTGTGCCGGCGGCGGAGGCTGCACAGAATGTTCCCCCGTCCTGGGGAAGAGAGGACGGCGCCGCCGGCTCTCTGTCCCTCACTGGAAGGAGGGCCCCCCAGGTCTGGGGGGAGGAGGGTGGCCCTGACCCTCGTGCTCAACAGCTCTCTCTGGCCGCTCTGTCACCGAGCAACACGGGAAGGCAGGGGTGAAGCAAGGAGGTGTCTTCGGAACCCATCCTGATGTCGAAAGACGGCGGGAGTTGGGGTGCCGGTGAAGGCCGACAGAGCGGTGAGAACGGAGATTCCAGACCATTCAGAGGGAGCCGGCCGACGCCGCCCGGTGTGGGAGGCGCAGTAGAGGAGGGGAGTCCCGCAGAGGACGGCGTTTCCCGGGACGGGGCCCGCGGTTCGACCAGCAGGCTGGGAGGGCAGGCTATCGGAGCCCGGGCTTGGGTCCCGCAGGTCTCAGGGAGTCCGTGCCGGCCCGGCTGCGAACTGGGCGGGGAGGAGGCCTGCGGTGGGCTCCGCCCTGGACAACGAAGAGCTGTCCCTGCACGAGGGACCTCGGAAAACACCTCTCCCAGCCCGTGTCCCCAGCGGCCACACGGTTAGGTCGGGGGCCCCTCAGGTTCTGAAGGGCCACCCCTCGGACACACTAAGCTTCCAGGAACGTCACTCTCTGCGGGCGGCCCCCTCTGTTCTCGGGGGCTCACAGGCTCTCCTTCGTCCCCCGTCAGGGAGCCCCCCTCCCTGCACAGCCCAGCCCCGCAGGGCCGAGCAGCCCCCGGATAGACAGACGAATGGGCGATGGAGCAGGTCCCGAGGGGCAGGACCCCCCCCCCCCCGGATCCCGTGGAGGGAGAGTCGCCGTGGACACCGGGAACCTGGCGGAGTTCGCTGGTTAACCAGCTGCCCTTCGGCTGATCTGTGCGGTTTGGCGGGAAGGCTTTTCCATCTTATGAGGAGAACAAAGCACTTTCAGACTGTTTTCCTCACTCGGTGACAGTGCAGCTGACCCCCGGGCCCGGGAAGACGTCACCGTGTCCCAGGGCACCAGGGTCGTCTCTCTGCAGGACACAGCGAAGCCTGCGGACCGCCAAGGCCACCCATGCCGAGACTAGGGGCACACGCGCGCCCATCTCAGGGGACCCGCAGCCGGCCACGCTCCCGGGAGCCCGGGCGGTAGGATCAGCGGGCGTCCCCAGAGGGAGACGTCGGCCGCACCAGGGTCAGTCTGCCGTCCCTGCGTGGGGGGTGGACAGGGGAGCTCCAGCCCCCGAACCCCGGGCTCTCGGACTTGCAGTCTGACCACGGGAAGGGGCCTGATGGGGGCCCCTCCTCCCGGGTGGACGCGGAGACGGCCTCTGTCCCCTTTGCTCTTGCTCTGGTGACACGTCCCACCATGGCGCTCGAGGAACCAGGGTCTGCAAAGTCCCCTCCCAGCTGCTGCCCACGGAGCCCAGCCCGCAGGCTCCGCCCGGCCCCGCGTGGGCTGGGTCCCGGCCGCGGTCGCTGAGCGTGGGGGGTGGGGGGGGGCGCCTACCTTCGCGCTTCATGCCCATGACCAGGCACTTCTGGTAGCGGCAGTACTGGCAGCGGTTGCGCTGGCGCTTGTCGATGAGGCAGCCCTTGCTGTCCCGGCAGGTGTAGAGCAGGTCCTTGCGGATGGTCCGCTTGAAGAAGCCCTTGCAGCCCTCGCAGCTGTACACGCCGTAGTGCTTGCCTGCGGGGGCAGTGTGTGTGTCCGCTCAAAAGACCCCCCTCGCCCCCTCCCACGGGAACCCGCGTGTCACGGGGGCAGAAAGGGACCCACGGCCCAACCCTTCACTGGCACCAGCCCATGCGCCCAGCAAAAGGGGAGGAGGCTCAAAGAAGATAGAATCCGCAAAAACACTTATTTCTGCCCCTGAAAACACACTAGAAACCCGGAGAAACGAGTGTGCCAGAACGCTAAGGGTGTGTCTTTCTAGGGAACAGTAGAGATGATATTTTTTAGTTCCTTTTGTACTTTTCTAGTTCTTTCAAATTTTCTACACACTGGGACATTATTTTCAGAATTATAAAAATCATCGTTTTTTAAATCCTCACCGGAGGCCATGTTTTTATTAATTTTAGAGTGAGAAGAAGGGAGAGAGAAATGTCAATCGGTTGTCTCCTATTCACACCTCAACGGGGGATTGAACCCACAGCCTAGGTATGGGCCCTGACTGGGAATCAAACCTGTGACTTTTTGGTGTACAGGATGACACTCCAGCCCACTGAGCCACCCGTTCAGAGACCATCTTTTCTTTAATGACAGAAACTCTAGCTTGCGACCACCAGCCAATCGGAGCAGCGTCTCTGTCCCAGACACACACCCAACTCAGCGACTCCTGAGCGAGGGGCTTCCGACCTGTTCCCTACCAGCCCAGTCCTCAGCCGCGGGGCCAGGCTTTCGTTCATCAGGACTCGCACCCGGGGCCCGAGCTGGACCGTTGGAACCGAGCAGCGGAGCAGCAGGGCAGCGTAAACGTGGGCAGGGCGCCCTCGCGGGGCGGCGGGGACTCTGCACGCACCTGAGGATCTGTCCCCACAGATGGCACAGATGTGCTTCACCAGAGACCCGGGGCTGCTGGACGGGTAGTTCACGTTCCCGACCCCGGGGAGCCCCGGTAAGGGCTTGATGTCCTCGGAAAGGCCGGCACTGTTCACCGCATTGAGCTGCAAGAGGGGAAAAGGCAATGAAACCGAGCCGGGCAGGCAGCCCGGCCCCCGAGGCCGAGGCCAAGGTCGAGAGCCACAAGGGCGTCCTCAAAAAACACATGAGGTCCACTTCGAGAAGTCGTTTCCGAGCAGAGAGTGTCTGAGAAATGTGTGGGCGCGATGTGAACTGGGGAGAGATAAAGGGGGGCAGAGGATCTGAGCCCTGCCAGGAGCCCAGGCCCGGCCCGGCAATCACAGCACCCCCACCCCGTGCTCCGGCTCCTGGGACTCACGGTCCCATCTGAGCCAGGAATCCGCACAGACCGGCGCACCCAGCACAAGGCCACGGCAGGCGGTTCCTGTCAGAGCAGGTGCTGACTTCGCTCCGGGAGGGGCCACGGCCCTCGGGCCAGAGGCAGACCCAAAGGAGCCGAGAAAACACGCACATCCCCTCGTTCCGCCAATGGCAGGCAAGCCTGAGCCAGCTGGACACAGAGGTCGGTCAACCGAGTCCCCAGTGCACCGGGAGAGAAGACAAAGCATTTCCATGGGCCACCAAGGACGCGGAGCCAAGTGCCCGAACGCACGAGAAACAGGCAGGTCGCCCCAGAGCACGTTTTGGAAGGAATGATTGATCTTCCCGAGAAACTGCAAAATCCGTGGAGCTGGAGACGGTCGCCTCTGTCTTCCAGGTGCCCGTCGGGGGTCAGGTCTCAGCCCGTGAACCTTCTCTGCACCCCGACTGCACCCTGTGGGCATCAGCCCCGTCACCCACCCCGTGTCCCCCAGGGGAGAGCCGCCGCTAAGGGGCCTGCGCTCTTCCAAGACGACCGGTTAACAGGACCCAGCCTGCAGAATTTCTGTGACCGGTGGGGCAGGGGCACCATCGCCGCGCTGGGCTGGGCAGCAGTGTCCAGGACACGCCCCTGAGACCACGTCTCCTGTCTACAGGTGGGTCGAGCGTGTGGTGGCCGGTGGCAGGAGGTAGAGAGAAAAGGTGTCGCATCTCCTGCCCCCATTTCCGCCAAATCTGCTTTGTTCCACGTGTCTGTGGTTTGCCTCGCAGACAGGGTTTCTCGTGAAGGAAAGATGTCACGGCTCACATTCCCTTTAGTCCTTAGGTGAGGTGGTCTTTCAGGTCCAGCTCTACTGTTTGCCTCTGTTGCAACAGTCCAGACCCCTGAAGGACGGCGACTCAGGTGCGACGGCCACCTGGGCAGCAATCGCCACAGACAGAGCCCAGGTCGGGCGGCAAGGTCAGGAGCGGACGGCCTGCCAGGGACACCCGGCCTGTTCCAGGTCCAGCCGACAGGCTCTCCACTTACGACAGTGTGTGGAGCTTCACAGACGCATACCACACACGCTCTCACACTCACACACACTCACACCCAGGAAAACCTGGCGGCATCGGCTCACCCGCGAGCGGTTCACCCATCCCTGCCCGCCCCACACTTGGTGTTTGGGAACCGGCGCATCCTCTCGGACAGTCCGCCCCGGGCCGGCGGCGGGCGTCCAGACTCCCCGATCTCCAGAGCGGACGCCGGCCAGTGCCTGCACACCTGAACGGGTCTGGGCACACCCAGCACCGGCCAACACCTGAGCCAGCATGTATGACCCATGTCCCCTGGGTGCGTGGCATGTCACTTAGGCGTAGTAAAGTAACAGTCACGAGTGAACTGGTTACCATAGAGCACTGTGCGGGCCCAAGGAGTGACTTGTCAAATCACTTTGATCTTCATGAAAATCCCCATCAGGTTTCAGGGCAAAGTTTGTTCCCCCACAACGGAGGACAAGGGCCTGAGAGGCCCCGTGGTTTGCACAGGGTGACCCAGCCCCCGTCCCAGAGAATCAGTCCAGTTCCCTCCACTCCTTGATACCGAGGATGCAGCAAGGTGGACAAGAGAAGCTCAGACCACGGGTGACTGAGCTGGGAACAGGGGACCTGCCTGCCGCCCCCATCGGGGCTCTCCGGGTTCGTCACCCCAGGCCGCACTCACCAGACCTGGGTCACAGGTCACGGGAAAAGGCCCCCTCAGCCCAGGGGGCTCCAGGACAGTCTCCCTGACTGCTCAGGGTGTGACTCGCACGGCCAACGCCAAGGGCACCAGATGTCCCGCGGCCCCTGGTTACCTGGGCCAGGTGTCACTGCCCACAAGCGCTGGGAGCCTGAGGCCCCCGAGACCCAGCAGTGCTCGGCAGGATAAATACAGCGTCCACAGCCCGGCTGGCCAGGACCCGGCTTTGAGCTGACAGCTCAGCTCCAATCCTTCTGTGCACCGTCCAGGAACAGTGGCCACACTCGCAGGGCTTTGAGACGGGCTGGCCGGCCAGCGCCGGCTCCGTGGGCGCGCAGTGTGGCGGCCACAGGCAGTGGTGGGGGCCAGTGCTCACCCACTCCCCGCCCACAGCCCTGTCCCCATCCACACCCACCCTATTAACTTGCTCATGGAAAAAGAGCAGCTGTTTGCTGCAACTCTATCCCTAGTCTGTTTGGCTTGTGTGTGGCGTGCGGTGCAACCGTCACTGCCGTGACAGCCCAGACCTTGGCCACTGGTCTCAGAGCTCGTCCAGGGCCCCAGGGCAGGGTCGCCGGGAGCGTGAAGCCCGAGGGCCTCACACACTGACGTCCGGATGATCGGACTCCCTTTGCAAAACGTTATGGTGTCTCAGAACCTCCACCCGCCCGTCCCTCTTCCCGCCCGCCCCTGGGAGTCCACTGACAGGAAGGAACAGGAGTCCACCAAGGAGGGAGGGGGCTGCTGACCACACTGAGACCGCACCTACCTGAGAGCTGGGCGGGGCCACCAGGTTGATCCCGGGAGGGGCCGCCAGCGCCCCGGAGGGCGGGCCCATGGCCGAGGTGATGACGCGGTATGGAGAGCCCAGGGCGGTCAGGGGGGCCCCCACCGCGCCCAGAGTCCGCGGGGCGCTCCCGGGGGTGTCCGTGAAGCTGGGGTGGCTCTCCATGGGCTTCCCGCTGGGCAGGGCTGCAGACGGGCTCATGGACGTGGAGCCAGAGTGGCCGGGGGCACCTGTGGGGAGAAGAGCGTAGGTGGCGGGGGCTGGGGAGAGCCAACTGGCCCTGCAGGGGCGGAGCCCCCAACCCCACCCAGGTTCGCTTCCTGGGCCCTGCCCTGCTCTCCCTCTGAACCACGAGCTTGCCCCTTCAGGGAGCTGGTGGCAGGAAGGCCAGCGAAGAGCAGGGAGCAGGGAGGGCCGCGGAGAGCCAGCACGCTCGCTGAAGGACGGGTTCTCGGGGTCCCACCTGGACCCCACGGTCGGGGGTCAGATCAGCCAAGGCCACGGGGCCGCCCACAGGTCCCCAGGTCTGGGCCACTGGGGCCTGGGCCAGGGAAGACGAGCCTCCACCAACCCCCAGGCACCAGGGGAAGCCAGCAGGTAGCCAGGCCGGTCCAGAGTCCCGGGCCTCAGAGCCACGCTGCCACCGTGACAACGGGCTGAGCCTGCGCATCAGACACCCAGGCCCGCATTCTGGCCACAGCGAACTCTCACAGGGGTGCCAGGGACTGTCCCAGGGGCCCGGACTCGGAGCCCCAGAGCACACAGCTCTCCCGCCACCCCCCTCCCCAGGCCACCACCAATCTGTCCTCTGTCCCTGAGTTCAGTTTTCGTTTTGTTTTGTTCATTCGATTCCACATGATAAGTGAGGTCGTGCGGTGCCTGTCTTTCTCGGCCTGACACGTCACTCGGCCTAGGACCCTCGAGGTCCGTCTGCGTGGCCGCAAAGGGCAGGACCCCCCTTTTCATGGCCGAGTCCCACTGCACAGCACACGGGTACCACGCTGCACCCACTCACCACCGAGGGGCCGTCCCACATCCTGGCTGCTGTGAACGACACTGCAATGACCAGGGCCGTGGGTGTCTTTTTAGATCAGTGTTTTCACGTGGGGCTATTCCGAAACATGGTGCCCCCCCTGGAGGTGTCTGCCTGGGGTCTCTCTGGAGCTCCTGCTCACTTAGTTAAGTCCTAGCTGTGGAGAGGACAGCCACTCCCGTCCCCACGGAGGTTGGGACCCTCTAGTCATTCTGCCTGGAGAGTCTCCGCTCTCAGGGACCACTGCCTCACTAATGGACCGATTCCCCGGTTCTAAGCCCCTCCACGGAGGAGGAGCCACATGCTGTGGGCCCACGGAGACGTGACACGGGGTTCAAACAGGTCAGACACTCGCGATGTGGCCTGAATAGCCCCTGAGAATCTCCACACGTTAACTCACGTCATCCTGTTCCAGAGACTTGGGCTCGGTCTCACCCTCTGGTGCCCGGGGCCAGATGACTGGCCCCACCTCTGGTGTCTACCGAGTTCTCATTCACCCTTCAGGGTCTAACTCAAATGTGGCCTCCTCCAGGAAGCCTTCCCTGGTATTCCTTGTCTGGTTTCACATTTCCTTCCTGTTTTCTAAGTAACGGTCTGTTTGTTTCCATCTCTTCCAGTAACTTGGGAGGGGGAGGGGCTGTGTCCAGTCCTGTTTGCCCGCTCCGAGCACGGCGCCCAGCCCCGCCCAGGCCGTGAGTGGCAGAATCCAGAGGCAAGCTGTCTGCCCGACAGCCCTCGTCCTCTCCTGCCTGCACCGTCAGGAGCAGCAGAGACGAAGTGAAGAGCCCTCACGTCCCAGGGACAAGAAGACTGAATTCTGAAGTGATCTCAGGCTGGAAGACCATCCAAACAGAACCCAAGCCAGCAAAACCAAAACCCTTCCCAGGTGGCCACGGACTAGAAAGAATACTTTGAGACTCTTCCCGGGTCCTGGCAGGCTGTGGCATGTACAGAGGCCAGTGTCTACCTGAGCCTGGCTCTGAGACAGCATGTGACTTGATGGGGGAGGAGCCACGAAACCCCTGGGACCCAGCCATCTCCCCACAGCCACTCCACCTGCAGCCCACCTCCTGTTCTGCTCCCGCAGGTCTCAGAGTCCTGCCTCTCTGCTCCCTGGGGACACCCATACGAGTCACCACAGCTGCAGGATGGTCGGGACCAAGACCTCGTGCCCAGCACCCTGGCCAGCCCGGGAGAGAAGGGACGCCGTGGGGGGCCCGTGAGGCGGTGCGGGGCAGACTGGGGAGAGCACTCATCATTCCCCATTTCTGTTTAGCATTTCCCTGTTTGTTGCAGCTGACGGGGCTTCCACTGTTCTAGCGTTAGCTTCTGAAAAATGGCTATTTACGTTTTTTTTAAGAGTAAATTGACCTAAGAAAAAGTCACACTCAAGGAACAAGGACACTCAATACATAAACTATCCTAAAAATAGCCTGCAAAGACATGATGCTTAAGGAACATCAACAAGCACAAATACATATACATATATATATATATATATATATATATATATATATACATACGGACTCTGGATAGCACACAAGTTGTCTCAAGACTCAACTGAAATGATGTGCGAGAGGTCTGAGATGTAAAGTGCACTGTTTCATTACCAGGAGGAGTAACAGAAACGGACTCTGTCAGAACGCGCCTGGACTGCTCGTCCGTGGGAGGGTCCGTGGGGTGGCTGAGCGAGCCCAGGTTCGGTTTTGCAGTGGTTTGCAACAATGTGATCTTGTTCCTGCTGAGTCGGCGACCCCCCAAGAGCGGGGCTCGTGTGTGACCACCGACCAGGCTCTTTGAAACTGAATTCGAAGGGACAAAGGCACCAAACGCCTGCCGGTTCTTCGAGACTAAGGGACCCGGTCCTTGCAGGAAACTAACGACTTTGCTTTTAGAAAAGGGGAGAAGCATGGCTTCGAGGACAGAGGTGCTGCCCGACCGCAAGTCTGTCCACTCCCACGGGCAGACGCCAGGGCTCGCCCGACCAGGACAGCAGCACCGGCCTCCCACTCGCCCTCCTTGTTTTCACAGCCACGTGGGAACCACAGCCGGGGCCTGAAGGCACCATGCGTTTGCCAGAGCCCTGGTGTCTGGCCCAGACCCAAAGTCAAGGCTTTCCCCGCTGCTTCTTCCGGTCCCGCCACCGGGTTCTACGAGGCTCAGCAACCCCTTGGCCCCGCTGCTCCCCGGGCACGTGCCCTCTCTGTCCCTGGTGCCCACTGCCAGCCCGGGAAATGCGCCATCCTGCACCCACACGTTTCACACTCCTCGCTCAGACACACTTTTTAGAAAACTAAGCCTCTCTGATGGGGAAGGGCTGGTGGGCTTTCCCCTCACTGCTCGTCCATGCTCCTGGCTTCCCCCCGCCCGCCAGGAAGGCGCCCCCACCCCGTTTCCTGAACACAGAGATGGCAGGTCTGATCGCATCCACAGGAGCAGATGCGGGGGGTGGTCTGGGGTCGTCGGAGTCTGAGCCAGGAGCCCAGTTGCGACTGGGCCTGTCAGGCCTTGAGGCTCTCAGAGGGTCACCGGGACCCACAGCCGCTGGGACTCTGCAGGGTGCCTTTGCAGCCCTGGCTTCTAAAGTCCCCAAGGGCCTCGGGGCACCAAGGCGACCAGAGGACAGTCCAGAAGGAGATAAAGCTGTGAAGCCAAAACACCAAAGGCTGGATTTGAACCTTGACCCCCAGCTCCTGTGCCCACAAATGGAGGCCTCTGGCGGGGGGTAGCAGCCAGAATCACTCACTAGGCTGGGAAGGGTGCTGGGCAGGGCTGCGCCTGGCCTGACCACGGCAGACCGTGGGCCTAAAGGGTCCGGCCCGGGCCAGGCCGCCAGTAGAGGCTCCATGAAGGGTCGTCAGTGCCGACCCCAGTAGGGGTGGGGCCACACAACGTTCACGGTACTGACTTTTCCGAATCGCTTAGGGAACAGTCGTAGCTCTGGGCCCAGAGAGTGGCCCCTGCATCACCCCAGCCACCCCTCCCTCTCCCCCAAGGCCCTGCCCAGGGCTCCCAGAGGTCCCCCCACTGATTTGCACTCTGAACGTCTGCTGCCCTACTGGCCGTCACCGAGTTTCAATCCCCTCCCCCGGCTGCTGGCAACAATCTCCACGAAGATGCTCAAAAAGTGTCTGCTAATTCGTGAGTGGGCTCCTTTTTTTCCCCCTTTTGCTCATTAATGTAAGTAACCATGGATAGCATTCACCCATAAAAATAATTCTGCCTAAGAAATCTATGTCTCTGATGTTTAACCAAATGCAAACCTCTGACATCTCCCAATAAGGAGGTGTGTGTGTGTGTGTGTGTGTGTGTGTGTGTGTGTGTGTGTGTGTGTGTTGAAGAAGCACTTATTGAGAAAGAGGAGCTGGGTTCTTCGAACTGCAGAATTCTAACCCAGGTGAGGAAGTTGCTTAGCAACCTCATCCTCAGCCAATGAAAACAAAATGCCATGCATGGGTCTTTCTGATTGGCTGGGCAGGAGCAAATGGCTTTAGCTGTTGTGCCTGGGCAGAGAGTTTGCTGTCCCATTAGCAACCTTGCTCGGGATGTTAGTACCCACCCACGGGTAAGGGGACAGAGGGAGACACCCACAGTTGGCGCCACCTTTCCAACCCTGGGGGGTTGTGGTGCAGAAGCCGGAGAACCACAGCTACCCTCACGCCCGGCCTGTGCTCCTGCCCTCGGGGAACTCCCGCAACCAGGCCCTGCAATACAGGCTGCTCCGCGGTCGGCAGGGCCCTGCCACCTGAAGGCCCTGTCTTGTCACCTCTGCCCCAAGCAACAGCAGCAGCTCACGTTCAATGAGCAAGTACAGTACGCCGGACACGGTTCTAAACTCCTTAGGTACACGGTCACGTTTCATAGCCACAAACGTGAGGCCGGGCCTCTTCCTGCTCAAGGGAAAATGCAAAAATTGGGGGACAGAGAATTATATGGCCTGCTCCAGGGGGCATGCTGGGAAATGACACCGGTGGAATGTGGATCTGGGGGGCGAGGAGCAGCAGATGTGGGTTCTAATCCCAGCCCCGCCTGGTACTGACCGTCTGGACAGCCCCTTCTCTCTAAATCTGCAAAAGACATTTCTCTGGGGAAGCTGGGATCTAGACAAAGCATGTTGAGCTTTGTAGGAAAAGCCTATGCAAAATTTTGTTGTTTCTTCCTGATACATTAACAACCTAGAAATAAGGAGGGAAAATC